AGGACTCTGGAACAAATGGAACTAGCAGACTTTTACAGAACATTTTATCCCCAAACTGAAGAATATGCATTCTTTTCATCAGCATATGGAACATTTTCCAAGATATACCATACTTTAGGCCACAAAACAAGTCTCAGAAAATTTTAAGAAATCAAAATCATACGATGTATATTCTCAGACCACAGTGGAATAGAACTAGAAATCAATTCCAAGAAGAACTACCCAAAATACACAAATACATGGAAATTAAACAACCTACTGCTCAGGAATCTTTGGGTCAATGATAAAATCAAGATGGAAATAAAAACATTTTTTGAACTGAATGACAATAGTGACACAAGCTACTAAAATCCCTGGCATATAGTAAAAGCAGTGCTAAAATTCATAGCACTAAATGCCTACATCAAAATAGATAGAAAGATCATAAATTAACAACCTAATATCACACTTCAGGGAGCTATAAAAACAAGAACAAACTAAACCCAAAGCTAGCAAAAGGCAAGAAGTAACAAAGATCAGATAAGAACTAAGTGAAATTGAAACAAAAAAAATTACAAAGGAAACAAAAGTTGGTTATTTGAAAAGATAAACAAACTTGAAAGACCACTAGCTAGATGAACCAAGAAGAGATAAGATTCAAATAAGCTCAATCAGAAATGAAAATGGAGACATTACCACTGATACCACAGACATACAAAAGATCATCTGAAAATACTATGAAGACCTCTATGCACAAGAACTAGAAAATCTAGAGGAAATGGATAAATTTTTGGAAACACACACCCTTCCAAGCTTGAATCAGGAAGAAACACAAATCCTGAACAGACCAATACTGAGTAGCAAGATTGAATCAGTAATAAAAAAATAATCTCCCAACTAAAAAACAGCCAACACCAGACAGATTCACAGCCAAATTCTATCAGACCTACAAAGAGGAATTGGTACCTATCCTGCTGGAATTGTCCCATAACATTGAGAAGGAGGAATTCTTCCCTTACTCATTCTATGAAGTTGGTATCACCCTGATACCAAAGCCATGAAAGGACACAACAAAAAAAGAAAGCTACAGACCAATATCCCTCATGAACATAGTTGCAAAAATCCTCAACAAAATACTAGCAAACTGAATCCAACAGCATATGAAAAAAATATTTCAGCACAATCAAATAGGTTTCATCCCAGGGATGCAAGGATGGTTCAATATATGCAAATCAATAAATGTGATTCATCACATAGACAATTAAAAACAAAGACCATATGATCATCTCAATAGATATAGAAAAAGCATTTGATAAAACCCAGCACCTCTTTGTGATAAAAAAAAACCCTTAACAAAGTAGGCATAGAAGGAATATACTTCAAAATAATAAAAGTTATATATGACAAACCCACAGTCAACAGCCTACTGAATGGTGAAGAGTTGAAAATATTCCCCCTAAGAATTGGAACTAGACAAGGATGCTCACTGTCACTTCTATTCAACATAGTACCAGAAGTTACAGCCAGAGCAATCAAGCAAGAGAAAGAAATAAAAGACATCCAAATTGGAAATGAGGAAGTCAAACTATCCCTGTTTGCAGATGATATGAACTTATACCTATAAAACCCTAAAGACTCCTCCAAAAGTCTCCTAGAATTGATAAATGAATTCAGCAATTTCTCAGGTTACAAAATTAATGTACACAAACCAGTAGCATTTCTATACACTAATAACAACCAAGCTGAGAATCAAAATAAGAACTCAATGCATTTATAATAGCTGCAAAATAAATCAAATACCTTGGAATATACTTAACCAAAGAGGTGAAAGACCTCTACAAGAAGTACTGCAAAACACTGATCAAAGATATCATAGATAGCAGAAAAGGAAAAGCATTATATATGCTCATGGATTGGAAGAATCACTATTGTTAAAATGTCCATATTACCCAAAGTTATCTACAGATTTGATGCAATTACTATCAAAATACCAACATAATTTTTCACAGAATTAAAAAAAAACAGCCCTAAAATTCATATGGAACCAAAAAAGCATGAATAGCCAAAGCAATCTTAAGTAAAAAGAACCAATCTGAACGCATTATCTGACTTCATACTACAAGGCAATAGTAACCAAACAGCATGGTACTGGTATAACAGTAGACACATAGACTAATGGAACAGAATAGAGAACCCAGAAATAAAGCCAAATAACTACAACCAACTGATCTTTGAAAAGGAGAGGAAAGATTACACTGGGGAAAGGACACCCTTTTCAATAAAGGGTGCTGGGAAAACTGGATGGCCTCATGCAAAAGAATGAAACTGGGTCCCTTTCTCTCACCATATATAAAAATTAACTCAAGATGGATTAAAGACTTATATGTAAGACCTGAAACCTTAAAAATATTATAAGAAAACTTAGGAAAAACTATCTTTGACATTGACCTCAGGAAAGAATTTATGACTAAGACCCAAGAGCAAATACAACATAAATAAAAATAAACAAATAAAACTCAAACTAAAAAGTTTCTGCAACCAAGGGAAATAATCAACAGAGTAAATAGATATCCTCCAGAATGGGAGAAAATATTTGTAAACTATGCATTCAACAAAAATGTGTGTGTGTTTATATATTATGTATATGTATGTGTGTGTGTTTATATTTATGTATATGTATGTGTGTATATATATGTATTCCACACATACATTCACCATGGAATACTACTCCGCCAAACATATAATGTATTCCACACATATATTCACCATGGAATACTACTCAACCATAAACAAAATTGAAATGATGTCTTTTTCAGCAACTTGGATGGAACTGGAGGCCATTATTCTAAGTGAAATAACCTAGGAACAAAACATCAAATACTGCATGTTCTCACTTACAAGTGGAAGCTAAGCAATGAACATGCCTGGCCATACAGAGTGACTTAATGGACATTGGAAATTCAGAATAGGAAGGTGGGAGGGGATGTGGGATGAAAAATTACTTATTGGGTACAACACACACTGTTCAGGTGATGGTTATATTAAAAGCCTAGACTTCTCCAGTATGTAATTCAGCCACATCATAGAAAACCACCTGTACCTGCTAAATCTATTTAAATTTTTTAAGAGAGAAAGAGATACAGTGAAGAGAGAGAGAGAGAGAAAGAATAGGCATTTTGTGTCCTTTGTCCACTACATTTTTTATGTTTCTTTTTTATTTGAAAATATATTGAAGATACATATATATATAGATATATATTAGGTAAATTAATTCATTATTGGTCATAAGTATTATATTTTTCTCAAGTTAATAATTTGTCTTTTTACATTATTTGTAGTAGTTTTTTCCATATGATTTTAATTTTTATGTAATTTAATTGATCACATCTTTCCTTTATATATTATGGGTGTGTGCATTCTTAAAACATCTTCCCCCACTTAATAATTAAGAAATAATTACCTATATTTCCTATCACTTTTAGAGTATTGTTTCATCATTTATAATTTAAAAGAAAAATTGGCAGGGAGTAAAAATCTAAACCCATTAATGTGTTAGTTCCTGGTTCAATAGGGAGGAGAATGTGAAGTCACAGCAGAAAATTAATTTAATGTGAAATTTCTCCCTCAAGATTACAGCAGTACTACCTGTAGTTAAATAAAGATAAAATAATGGCAGTGTAAAAGAGACTTCCTTGGATAAATAGGTGACCTCAGAAAACCCTTGCTAGACAAAGGTGTTTATCGAATGGTCCCAAAGCCAAGCCATCAATATCTGATATCCAGGCCTATGAGTCAGTCCTAGCTATGTTATAACCCCACTGCTGACTCATCACCTAGGTCCAGGCAGCTTGATAGTTGGGGTGCTGTGCTGCCCTGCCTTGAGGCAGAGGCATGGACCAGATGACCTTTTCACTCCATCATTCTAGGAATCAGGAGCCGGGTTCTTGTGTGACCAAGGTAAGGATATCCTGCCCACTCCCTATAACTAAGCCCATGGGAAAAACCTGAGCAAATGCCACACCCAAGTGAGACAGTAGCAGATCTCTGCAGGGTGATGTGTCCTCAGAGCGCCTGTCTCAGAGCGCATTTTCCTATGAGGACTACCTAACCCATATGTGACAGCTATTTGTAAACTGTAAAGTCATGCTAATGCTAGTGATACAATCTTTAAGAATCTATTAACCACCAATATGTGCTTAACCTTGTACTAGTTGCTGATGAGGGACAGGACATATGAGGCACAAGCTGTGCTGTCAGAGGGTTTATTAAAATCTCATTTGTGAGGAATGTCATATAAAAGATAAGGGAGCAAGAAAGATTTTAACTGTACTGCCTCAGAAAGGGAAATATCATGGAATCAACCATGGAGTTAGTGGTAGGAGGGGCATGTTCGCAGCATAGCTTGGCAGTTCCACTTAGGAAGCAAAGCAGAAATTAGAGAAATTACACAGGGTCTTATTGCACAGAGATTTCAATGTCAGTCAATAGACTCTGACCTTGATCTTGATCACAGTGTGGAGCCCCGGATGAGGCTTCTTTAAAGGTCAGGCACAATTATTCCTAGAGTAGGGTGGTGGAGAGAGACACTTCGTGATCCTAGTGAAGACTAGAATCATGGAGAAACCCTACAGAAGAGAGTAGTGTAACTTCCCAGGTGTGAGAGATCTGATGCTGTAATAATAGGACAAGGTGGATTATATATCTACATTTATTCTATATTCCTATATCTATCCTATATCTCAACTATATCTAAACTATGCCTATGTCTACATCTATGTCTGTATCTATCTTCTATCTATACACACACGATCAGTTAAATATAGCAGTCTGAAATAGCCAAAAGCTCATGAACATATGCATTTCTCCAGATACTGTCTTTTCTTGCCCATTATGACCTGGACATTGGGATTATTAAGTCAATCTCTACCTCATCCCATGCTCTAGAAAATTGTTTCAGACATTTTCAGACGGGATTACTTCCTTCAAATAATTACTGCTTTGTCTAATTTGCCTTTATCTAATTAGCACTCTTACTTGTTTCTTTTAATGCTGTCCTCCAGACACAAAAGGAGCACCTGTTACATACCAAATTGGCATTAGTCTCTATCTTAATCCCCCAAAAATGCTCAAATAAATAAACAAACAAACAAACTTCAGGCAAACCTGTGTCCGTGTGGAAACAAAGTGATACCACTAAACGTTTCTATCTTATTTCAAGCCCTCAGATCCTTTCAGGCCTTCCAGCCTCCTCCACACTGGGACTCTTTTCCACAGAGTCCTTCACCCCACAGAGTGGCCCCAGTTTAGACCAGCTCACAGTCTCTCCTCAGGCACGACTTACCCCCTCTCCGTGCATGAGACCCCTGGGAAGCAATCTGTCAGTCCACAGTGTGGCTTTCTCTAGCTCCTTTACAGGGTTATTTTCATATGAAAATGTATCAAGGGCCTTGGTTGAAAAAATGGCCATTTTAAAAATCAGAAACACCTTTCCTGGAAAACTGCTGTGATCTGAAAAATTTTATTCCCTTTTAATTACTGACAGACAGGTATTTCATATGAGGGTCCACCGTGTCACAGGACCTTTGGTGGGCACCTTCCTTCCAGGATTCTGTTGATCCTCACAACACCCTGGAGACTAAATCTTTATCGTCTCTACTGTAAAGTTCAGAAAAGCAAGAATGAGAATGTTCACGTGACTTTTGCAAGGTCACAATGCTAATCATGCAGAGTCAGAATTCTGTCCCGGCTGTGTCTGACTCCTAACCCAGGCTCACCACTGTGATGGTGCAGACACAGGCACACATGTGTGCCCACACACAGAGGATGGCCCAGGGCGGCTGGTACACACCAGGGACATCTAGAGGCCTCAGTGAGGGCCTCAGACCAGATCATCAGGGAAATAGAAAAGGAGGGCTGGGAAGGCCAAGATCCAAGAACTGGATCTGGGGCCAGGCAGCTCCAAGGAGAATGAGGGGGCGCTGATGGTGGGAATTGCCCTGAGCTTCATAGAGGAAGGTAGATGAGAGGCCACCAGGTGCCACACATCACAGGACACATGTGGGTGGCAGGAGGCGGGTCCTCTCATGCCCAGGCCCTGTCTCACCACGGCGGGCAGGGCCCAGGCCAGGATAAAAGGGCTCAGGGCCGGAGCACCTGCATCCACTCACCTCCTGAGGAACTGAGAGACCCAGTGCTGCCTGTGACCAGGTAAGTGCCCACTGGGGACAGCAGCAGGGCCTTCCACAGAGGGAGGCTCAGCCCAGGGCAGGAGGGGAGGCTGGGCAGGGCCTCGGGGCTGGGGTTTATAACAACAGAGAGAAAGAAGGCCCAGAGGGAGAGAGCAAGCACAGTCCTTCGGTGCTCCCTGCGCTTGAGGAACCCAATGGGTCTACACCTGCTTGGGGCTCTCAGGATGAGGGAATAACAACACGGCTGCTCTGATATCCAAGAGGAGGTTCAAGAAAGGCAGTTTGAGATGCCACCGTGTCCTTCTCTGCAAGGTATGATTTGAGGACAGCGATTCTCAGACTGCGGAGAGCACCGGAGGCAGCTGTGCAGGTTTCTGCACACCTGGGCCTGGGACGGGGCCCGGGGACGCATCTTAAAGCCCCAGCACTGAGAGAACACAAGGAGTATGATAATCTCTAGGTCAAGATATCGGCCTTAGAGCTGGTGTCTCTGGAAACATCAGGGCAGTAGGCTGAGTCCAGGGATCTCTGTACACAACTTCATTGCTCTAAGCTTCCTAAATAAAATGGCCAGCCAGGATACGCCCTGATCCCTTTCTATTCTGAACTTGTAAGCATCTCTATATAAAACCATTTAGGGTGCTAAGGTGACATCTTTTTCTGTAAAGGAATTATTTCAGTTCTAATTTAGTCTTTTTAGAATCGTTTCAATACTTGGGTGACATAAGTGAAAAAAGTATGTTTATCACTTCTTTACATCATTTGGTCTCAATTGTCTACTTGATAAAATAGATGCTGATCCCTGCTTAGTCTTAAATGATAAGGCAGGGTTGAAAGGCTATCCTGCCAGGGTAGTTGGTAAGATATTAGAAAGGAGAACAGTGCTAGGGATTTGTTCTTTGTGACTGATCCTAATCAGGTCATTAGAGTGTTCTTTGATTGTGGAGATGCTGCTGAGAGCACAAGGACAGCCAGGGGTGGCCGCTGTGCCCGGGTCTGACTTGCTCTTTGACTCTCCCTCAGCTCCTGAGCACCCGCCTGCCGAGATGTCCTGCCAGCAGAGCCAGCAGCAGTGCCAGCCCCCTCCCAAGTGCACCCCCAAGTGCCCTGCCCCGAAATGCCCCCCAAAGTGTCCCCCTAAGTGCCCTCCTGTCTCTTCCTGCTGCAGTGTCAGCTCTGGGGGCTGCTGTGGCTCCAGCTCTGGGGGCTGCTGTGGCTCCAGCTCTGGGGGTGGCGGCTGCTGCAGCTCTGGGGGTGGTGGCTGCTGCCTGAGCCACCACAGGCGCCACCGCAGGTCCCACTGCCACAAGCCCCAGAGCTCTGGCTGCTGCAGCCATTCCTCGGGGGGCTCCAGCTGCTGCGGAGGGGGGAGCAGCCAGCACTCTGGAGGCTGCTGCTGACGGGGACCCTGAGCCAAGAGCAGCAGAATCTGGGACAGCACACACCAAGGACGTCCTCCTTCCCTCCTGGGCCTGCCTCAGAGGCCGGGGGCTTGCGAAGAGCTCATCTCCTCCCTTTGGGTCCAGAAACTCAAATCCTCCCCTAACCCCCAGCCACTGGCCTTGGACCTCATCTTGGTGGCTGACTTCCTTTCCCCTGTCAAAGACTCTAACGTCTTATTGTCTTACAGTGTTTATCTGACTGATTAAAACAATAAAACAAAGAATCTGCTCAGTGTCTTGCTCTAGAAGGGCCCTCATTCTCCTTGAGGGGCCATTGTTCTCCTCACCCTGTCCTGTGCAGGTGGTGGCTTTGGACGCCCAGGGGCCAGCGGGGCACTCTGGCTACAACTGGGGCAGATGGAGGTGAGAGTGGGAAGGAGACCAGCACTCCCGACTCTGTCCTGGGTTAACCAGCCGGAAGCAGCACTGCTGTGACCAAGTCTGAGTGTCTTTTTGTAAATGCAGCTCCTCTGCCTCTGGCCCCCTTCAGGGTCCTAACTGTCTCTCCATGCTCCCCTCCCTGTGGGAACACTCTCTGCTGCTCTGACCTGGCCCCCGAGCAAGCATCCTGCCTCCCTCACACACGTGCACACACACGCACAGGTGCTTGTGTACACCTGGAAGGAAAAAAAGAAAAGAAAAAAAGATGAGTAAACTAATAAAGCAAACTAAAAACACCCCATAAACATATTTTGAAAATATAGTTTTCCCACTCACTACTTGCGCGATCAGGTTAGTTCCAGGCACATTTGCATGTAACAATTGCTCTTGCCCTAACCTTCCTGCTAATCTTGTCTCTTTCTTCCTCCTCATGCTCCAATATATTCTCTACACTACTTTCCAGAACACACTTCCTGTCCCACATCTCTGAACTTGTCATTCCATTTCTGCAAAACTTTGGCTGCCTGCAGAAAAATCGTAAAAGTACTACATTTCAGACTCAATATAAATTGTTTTCAACTTCTTTTCCAAGGTTTACCTATCATTCCCGGGTAAACTTTATGTTCCTACCACACTGAGCAACTCACGTGTGCTCACATATCTCTTACACTTGTATAGCTTCATGCCTTCTTTTCTGGGAGGCAGTAAGTAGAGTTTACCATCCATAGCTCTGTATCCAGAATACTCTGGGCGATCAATAAAGGGTGGCTTTGGGAGTTATTTTATGTATTGCCACTAGCAGTACTGCTACTGCTACCATCATGACTAACTGCTGTTCCTACTACTTACTATTATTATTGGCAGTATTACTTGTTTCCTCTATCTGAAGTTTTCCTCCAATTACCTCTCTACCATCTGAAGATTTTACAATTCTATCCCTCCTTCAAGGCCCACCTCAAAAATGTCATCTTTTAATAAAGCCTTATCTAGTCATGTGTTTTCTTAAGCTGGCAGATGTTAAATAGTCTGTCTATAACCCTCCCAATTGAGCAAGCTTAGCTTGCAGGATGTAATAAAACTGTATCTATTTAACTGTATTCTATTGTCCTTTAAATTTTACTCAGTAGGGTAGTCTTTTGATTCCTAAATGTAAAGTTGAAAGGCTTCCTGACTTTGTGATTTGTTACTTAAAATCACAAACTTAGGCTCAGTTCAGAAGTTGAAATAATCAGTCTGAGAAGTAATATCCATGCCAAATTTGGTTTAATGGCATGTTTGTCCATGTCCCTGCTCCAGTGGGCTGGCCAAACACAGCAGGGAAACGAAGCCTGGTCCTTCTACTCATTTCTCACCTGATGTCTGTCCTTCTCCTCCAGCTTTATAAACGCACTTTTTGAATGGAGATGGGGATGCACAATCTCACAGGTGGGTGCAATTTTCCTCTGACACTGGGGGCAGGGACCCTGAGCCAAGAGCAGCAGAATCTGGGACAGCACACACCAAGGACGTCTTCCTTCCCTCCTGGGCCTGCCTCAGAGGCCGGGGGCTTGCGAAGAGCTCATCTCCTCCCTTTGGGTCCAGAAACTCAAATCCTCCCCTAACCCCCAGCCACTGGCCTTGGACCTCATCTTGGTGGCTGACTTCCTATCCCCTGTCAAAGACCCTAAGGTCTTATTGTCTTACAGTGTTTATCTGACTGATTAAAACAATAAAACAAAGAATCTGCTCAGTGTCTTGCTCTAGAAGGGCCCTCATTCTCCTTGAGGGGCCATTGTTCTCCTCACCCTGTCCTGTGCAGGTGGTGGCTTTGGACGCCCAGGGGCCAGCGGGGCACTCTGGCTACAACTGGGGCAGATGGAGGTGAGAGTGGGAAGGAGACCAGCGCTCCCGACTCTGTCCTGGGTTAACCAGCCGGAAGCAGCACTGCTGTGACCAAGTCTGAGTGTCTTTTTGTAAACACAGCTCCTCTGCCTCTGGCCCCCTTCAGGGCCCTAACTGTCTCTCCATGCTCCCCTCCCTGAGTGAACGCTCTCTGCTGCTCTGACCTGGCCCCCGAGCAAGCATCCTGCCTCCCTCACACACGTGCACACACACGCTTGCGTACTTGAGCTCGTGCACACACAGGCACGGGTGCTTGTGTAAGCCTGGAAGGAAAAAAGAAAAGAAAAAAAGATGAGTAAATTAATAAAGCAAACTAAAAACACTCCATAAACATATTTTGAAAATATAGTTTTCCCACTCACTACTTGCGCGATCAGGTTAGTTCCGGGAACACTTGCATGTAACAATTGCTCTTGTCCTAACCTTCCTGTTAATCTCGTCTCTTCTTCCTCCTTGTGCTCTGATGTATTCTCTACACTACTTTCCAGAACACACTTCCTGTCCCACATTTCTGAACTTGTCATTCCACTTCTGCAAAACTTTGGCTGCCTGCAGAAAAATCTTAAAAGTACTACATTTCAGACTCAACATAAATTGTTTTCAACTTCTTTTCTAAGGTTTACCTATCCTTCCTGGGGAAACTTTGTGTTCCTACCACACTGAGCAACTCACCTTTGCTCAGATATCTTTTACACTTGTATAGCTTCATGCCTTCTTTTCTGGGAGGCAGTAAGTAGAGTTTACCATCCATAGCTCTGTATCCAGAATACTCTGGGCGATCAATAAAGGGTGGCTCTGGTAGTTATTTTATGTATTGCCACTAGCAGTACTGCTCCTGCTACCATCACGACTAACTGCTGTTCCTACTACTTACTATTATTATTGGCAGTATTACTTGTTTCCTCTATCTGGAGTTTTCGTCCAATTACCTCTCTACCATCTGAAGATTTTACAATTCTATCCCTCCTTCAAGGCCCGCCTCAAAAATGTCATCTTTTAATAAAGCCTTATCTAGTCATGTGTTTTCTTAAGCTGGCAGATGTTAAATAGTCTGTCTATAACCCTCCCAATTGAGCAAGCTTAGCTTGCAGGATGTAATAAAACTGTATCTATTTAACTGTATTCTATTGTCCTTTAAATTTTACTCAGTAGGGTAGTCTTTTGATTCCTAAATGTAAAGTTGAAAGGCTTCCTGACTTTGTGATTTGTTACTTAAAATCACAAACTTAGGCTCAGTTCAGAAGTTGAAATAATCAGTCTGAGAAGTAATATCCATGCCAAATTTGGTTTAATGGCATGTTTGTCCATGTCCCTGCTCCAGTGGGCTGGCCAAACACAGCAGGGAAACGAAGCCTGGTCTTTCTACTCATTTCTCACCTGATGTCTGTCCTTCTCCTCCAGCTTTATAAACGCACTTTTTGAATGGAGATGGGGATGCACAATCTCACAGGTGGGTGCAATTTTCCTCTGACACTGGGGGCAACTAGATAGTAGAATCTAATTTCTGACTCCTCCTCTCTTGGGCATTTCAATGTCTCTCCTCTACCTGTGATGTCAGTGATGCCTCTCCCAGGGTGGATCATCACTCCAAGTTCAGCCTTGGTTCCAGAATCTTCTCTTACACCAGGGATAAAATGGCTCAAGTCTAGTCGTTCTCTCCAATGTGATCCACGTCTGGTCATAGGAAGCACTCAGGCATCACTTGACCCACGCTTGCAGAGAAAATAGAAACTCACATTCTCTTAGATGACAAAGTTGTTTTCATTTCCTCCATGTCTCCTGAAGGAATGGCCAGGTCCTGCTTCTCTGTGTCCCCAACTCAGGGAGACACCTGCCGGATCCTCCGTGGGAAAGGATAAAGAGGGCAGGATCCCAAGGTCCTAGTCCTAGGAAATTCCTTTCCTCCCTTTGTTTGCCAGAAATCCAGAGAGTTTTTCTTATCTACCACAAGTCCCAGTTTGATAAAATATTTATCTTTCAGCTTGTAACTTTTACACAATTAAACACCGAACCTTGAAACTGCTGTGAATAAAAAAATCGAATGTCATAGTACATAAGGATTTAAAATGTGACAATGCAGATGTCAGTTAGAAGTAGGGAAAAGATGACTGTTCAACATCTGGAGTTAGGGAATTTGGTTAACTGAAAAGACAATGTAAACTTTCATTTAACTCCAAGGTGAGTTCTACGGGATTAAATATTTTGGAAAAATTAAATCATAACGAAAGAAGTACTTATAGCCAAACATTAATCTTATCTCGGAATGAAGAAAAATATTCTAAATATAAAAACAAAGAAATTGTAAAGAAAAATGGATATAAATACATACATATTAAATGAAATATTTTGCCAGAAAAGAAGAGGAGAAACAAAATTAAAATCAAATAACACATTTTGGAAATATGTTATTATATATAAATATGACAGACTAATACCTTATATAGGTGTGTGTAAAATTTTACATATGTTTAAATTTTTTAAAGAAAATATTTATACAGATACAAACTAAGTATAGTAGATTAGTAAATACCCATGTATATATATCCTCCATTTAAATTAAGAAATAAGACATTATAAATATAATTGAAATCACCACCTCATATATCTCTTCTACCCAGAGATATTCATTATGCTTTTCCTTCCTGTGTAATATATATACTTTCTCATATTTATTTATACTTAACTTATAATTTGTTTATAATTAAGTCAAAAAGTATAACAAATGACTTGTATTTAGTTATAATTTATTTATACTTAACTACATTTTATTTATAATTCATTGAAATATAAGTTATAAGTTGTATTTTTAATTTTCTAAAAGTGCTATTATCCTCCATGTCTTTGAGACTTCTATGTTGATACAGGTCACTTGATTTCACCTTTATTTATTTTCACTATTGTATAGTATTCCAGTGTAAGAATATTCATGCTTTACTTATGC